TGGCACCAGGGCCCAGCCGAGTAGCTGATGGGTCAGGAAGATGACCTGTTCAACCGGTTACCTCCCAGGGAGAGGAACGAAGGGAGGAGGGCGGAGTGCAGCCCTGGCTGGGGGGCAGGGCTGGAGGAGAGTTTTAGTTTCTGTCTGGGATCATGGAGGAAGCAGCCTGAGCAAGAGGCTGGGATTTAGGGGCCCAGGCTCCCCCATCTCAAGGGGGGCTGAGGCATCCTAGGCCTGGCCCTGTAACCAGATGACATCTGTGCTGTGCTGCATCCTTGGAGAAGCAATAAACTCCCTCAATCCTATTGGCTGGCGGAGTCTGTTTGTGCCACTACGGGGGTGCAGGAATCGGGGAAACCCCGATGCATTGTCACATCGTGATGTCATCATCGGGCGGCCAGATCGGTCTCAAGGGGGGCTGAGGCATCCTAGGCCTGGCCCTGTAACCAGATGACATCTGTGCTGTGCTGCATCCTTGGAGAAGCAATAAACTCCCTCAATCCTATTGGCTGGCGGAGTCTGTTTGTGCCACTACGGGGGTGCAGGAATCGGGGAAACCCCGATGCATTGTCACATCGTGATGTCATCATCGGGCGGCCAGATCGGCAGCACCCTAGGCAACTGCCGAGTTTGCCTAGGCTCACGGGCTTCCCCTGGCTAAGATTAAGTTGTTTAAACAAATGTGTTGCAATGGTAGAAAAAAATTGGGTGTGTTGGAAAATTGTAGGTAATGGTGGTACTTATAATTTTTTTGTAAAAAAAGGGTATTTTATTAAAAAAGGGTGAGAAACACTGGGATAGAGAGCGTTGCATCTTTCCACGTTGCAGGAGCTCACACAAGCTAATTTTCACCTGCCTACTGGAATTTCTACCATTGATCAGAGGCGCTGGCCACTGTCCTCTTGGGCTCGTTGTACATGCCTGTGGCACACGCGGGGGCTGTGGGCAGAACTGGGTTTCTCTGCGTGTGCAGTGAAGGAGGCGGCAAAAAGACCTGCCCCCAGGGAGGGAGGTCGGAAGTGCGAGGAGGCGCAGAGTCTGGGAGGAGGCAGGATGGCCATTGGCAGACGCCCCCTTGCTAACACAGCCCCTAGACACAGAACGGGGCTGGGAGCCGGGAGATCCTGCCTGCCATGCGGGCCCTGCCCAAGTCAGTGACAAAGGTGCCCGTTTATTTCGGGGGGCCAGGGCTTCTCCCCAGGTGTCCTGCCCCTTCCAGGGGCGCAGGGCAGCAGGATGCACACGCCCGGGGGGAGGAGGACGGTGGCTCTGACAGACGCTGGCAGCCTTAGGGGGCCCCTGTAACGCTCCCAGGGTGACGTGGTGCAGGGTTCTGTGCGGGTGAACGCGAGCCACCAACGCCTGTATCCGTCTGAACAGTCCACCGCTCGCCCTGCCCCCGCCATTCACCTCTCGCCCCTCTGCCCGGCTGTTCCCAAAGGGAAACAAGGAAACCCCCTTCCCCACATTGGGCCCAGCCAGCCCCCTGCAGCCCAGCAGTGTGCGCGGTGCAGCCCCCAGAATGGGCCCTCCGGACACGGGCTGGACCCCACTCCGCCATGGGGGGAGGGGCAGTGTCCAGAGCGGGGTGGCTCTTCTGCGCACAGTCCCCTCCTGCTCCTGTCTGCAAAGGTCCCCAGGGAAGGCTCTGGGGATGTGACTCTGACGAATCATTTAGCTGCATGGGAAGGCGTTCGGGAGCAAGAGGGAAACTGAGGCCCGTCCCTTTGCAGTGGGTGGAGAAGGGCCCTGTCGCCCTGTCCACAGGCTGAGCAGCGCAGGTGACAGTGGGTAGCACACAGCACTGTGACTGGGGTCTGAGCTTTTACCAAACAGGGCTCCGCTGACCCAGTGAGGACAGATCTGGGGGTCTCAGGAGAGAGGCCGGGGACTGAGTGAGCCCTGGGAGGGAACTGGCCTCTCTTCACTGCTGGGGGGTGTCTTGTGGGCTGGGTGGGGGAGCCTGGACCTGAGCTCTGCTGGTCTGTGTCACCAGAACACAGCGTTCCTGTGGGTCCCAGCAGGGCAGCGGGGGCTGAGTGGACTCTGGAGACTGGACTTCCCGGGCCCCGGAGGAAATTCCCACCATCAGCGCTGAGACGCGATGGCCCGGAGCGGGCAGCCTGAGGCTGTGTCCACACAGGCACTTTCGTTTGTCACTCTGGGGTCTGCAAAAACAACCACCGGAATGACAAACATTGCAGCATTGAAAAGCGCCTGTCTGGACAGTCCTCCAGCAGTGGAACCAGCCCTTCTGTGGGGAGCCTCTGGCAGCCTTATCAAGGCTGTTTTACTGTGTCACCGGGAGCGACCTCTCCTGACGGGAACAGGGGGCTGCACTGCTCCCCCCATGGCTGAGTGAACCAGGCCCTGGGCCTCCACGAGACCTCGCCAGCTGAAACCAGAGCGACTGTTCAGCCCACAAGCTCGTTCCCTTTCCCACGAGCCATATTGCAGGTAACTGAGGTGACCGGCCCTTCCCTGGGCC